TTTCTTGATGAATTTGTAGTTTGTCCTTTAAAATCTCCTTCACCTTAAACTCCGCTTCCGTCCAGCTTTCTCCAGCTGACTCCATGATTCCCTTGAATATCAGGTTTTTTTGCTTGGACTGCGCTTCCAATTGCTCCATTTTACACGCAATAGTTATTAGACTCTCTCGGGTTTTGTCGATGTCCCGAAAAGTGTCTTTGGCAGTTTTTTCATGCCTCCCCACGTCCATTTTAATCGCGTCCACTTCTCGCTGGGTGAACTGCAAACTCGTTTTTATCTCCTGCATTTCTTTGGTCAAGTCATCGAATCTCTTGTTATTTGTCTCCATAATTAGTTTCACAAAGCCTTGGAAACTCTCATTCAGTTGGCACATCAGCGCAGTGTGCATAATCTTATGTTGCTTCATCATCTCAGCTACTTGCGCCGCTGAAAAAGAATCTTCTTCCGCCTCAACATCCTCGTTCACTTCGGATTTATTAGCTCTTTTCCCTCTTGGAGGCATTTTAGTAGTTGTAGAATTTGTTCAAAACCTTGACAATGTGGAAGATGTGAAAAATCGCAGATCAGACAAGAGAAGCAATAAAGCAATAAAGATGTCTGAGCCCTACAAATCTGTAAGTACTGCCGTACAGTAAATAACAGTCTGATTGTTCTCTTGGCTGTGTCCATGGAGCTGAAGGAATAAAATAAATAAATAAATAAATAAATAAGGTGGTTGTCAGGTCTGCAGACAGCGTTTTCGGGTCACGGTGCAGGAGGACAGGCCTGTACTTTTGTAAGTAATTTTTTCAGTACTAACGCGGTACAGTAGTGGAAGAAGTACATCAACTGAAAGTCTTGCTTTAAAACCTTTATAATGTGACATGGGAAAACAGGGTCCAGGGTACATATTAAACTAATCATGTGGATGGAGTGTTGCACTATGACTGAAACAGCCACAAACTGACTGACTGACTAATTAACAAATAACCTCATGACCTGATAGCTGTTGTGTCATTTCAAGTAAGGAACTGTTGTTGCTCTCAACCTGTGGATATTGACAAGTCAAAGAAAGAAAGAAATCCATTGCCTGACAAAGTAATTTCAAAAAGTTAGCCTGGAACGAAACAGTGAATGTAGCTGTGGACCGTAACAAACTGCTTGCGCCAACGACTTATGGTGTTGTTTTTATGGCAGGGCAGTTTTGTGTTTGCTGCAACAAACTCTAAGATTTGTTTAGAAAGACTGTGTTCACAAAGGTGGTTCTGCTGAAAACCAGGCAGGTGCAATGTCATCTATGACCACAGAAAGTCAGTGTTGGACCACAAAAACTCTTCCTGTACAGTCCATGCTTCCAACAGAAAGCAACATTAACAAGTTACAGTGGAGGAGAAAAAATAAATTCAGTGAAGAACATGTGTGTACCGCTGTAAAAACACCACAAAATGTTTAACACCTAGAAGGAAATTTTAAAATGAAGTATCATTTTTTAAAGCATCATATTCAGTCATTTCACAGATTGAGGTACAGAGATTAGGAG